TATTAAAGGTGTGTCTACAAGACAAATTGTAATTTAAACTTAAGTAGTTCTGATTTGTTGAAAGCAATGAAGCATTTAATGTAGTTTAAATGAAAACAAAACGTGCGTGGTTTAATCAAGTGTGGGATCATAATGGAACATGAGAGCGGTATTTAGTTAACTGAAAGCAGGTTGTGAAGAGATTAGAGGCAGTTCAACAGTAAAATGTTAATAAAAAGCCCTCTGTCTCAGATTAGAAAATGAAAACGGACATGATGAAAGCAGTATTTCAATTTTTTTTTTGCTGTATTATGTGATGTAATCTTTTACTGCACACAATTTTTCTTTCACAACAAAGCCAAACCCATTTAATAGCCACCATTAAATCGCGTGACTTTCTGACAGCGTATTAAAGACAGCATCACACATGCGTGCTAATAACATGCAACAGTGGGATATAAATGCATGACGAGTTAAAAGAAGTGAGTGGAACACAAATACTCAGGGTTTATGGTCACCTGATCCAAACTTAACTCTATGCTTCATCAAAAAGGAAAGTTTGAAGGCTAGTAGGTGTCTGCCTCCTGAATCCAAAGTGGGGGCTTGTTCCAGTGAAGAGGGGCCTGAAAACCGAAGGCTCTGCCTCCGATTGTACTTTTACAAATATCTACAAGCCACAAGTAAGCCTGCAGTCAAAGGGCAAAGATCTATGTTGGGATAATATGATGCTACATGATCATTCAGGACTTTGTATGTGAAGAGAAGACTTGACATTCAGTTCTGGATTTTAAAGAAACCAGTTTAGAGAAGGCAATATGAGAGAAATGGGATCTCTCTTTCTCGGGCCTTTTAACACTTTTGTTGCACTGAAGGCTGAAGGAGGAGTTTGATATTTGATATTAAATATTTATCTGGAAGTTGATAACACTTGTGCCTGTTTGACTTAGTCTGAGAAAGGGCTAGCCTTGCCGTGTCCAAGATAACATTAGCACTCACTAGAGCCATTTTCACATAAAACTATATATCAGATTGTCAGTTCAATACTACAAAGTCATTCTAATCTTTAATAGAGTGCACAAAGTGTTGATTTGGTTATTTGTCTAGAGATCTCACAGCCAGAAGTGGCAGGCAGTATCGTCATCGACTGGAGTATTTCCAGTAATGGGACTAAATCTGATTTGTTTCTGGCTACGACAAACACAAAGCTTGGTTCACGTCAAGCGTCTTGTCCAGCTCAGCAAGAAAACAGGTTGGCACACATTTCTTACAAAAGTAAATGATTCCTTTAAACCAAATAGGGGCTGGGTGGTGGTGGACTCTCAGCTGTTGTTGTACATTTCACAGGAGGAGATAAGCTCAAAGTCACACGGTGTCCGCCTTTTTCATAATGTACTTCAAATGAGGGAGGTCACTTTTTTATGGGAACCCTCTGTGACACAGTCGTCCAGCACAGATAAGAGTTAGCCGTGATAAAGAAAGTAACACGGTGCACCACTTTACTCAGTTTGTCAAGGCAGAAATCAAAAGCTGTAATCTTAGAACTCTGTGTTAATGCAGATAAAGCTTGCGAAGTGAAGAAAATGAAAAAAAAACTTAGCGACAAAGGTAATCAAACAAGAACTAATTCTAAAGTCTTTGGGCTGTAGAGTTTAACTGTTAAAAGCTGCAGTCATCATTACTGACAGCCACAAAGACCCTTCTGAAGTGGAGGCACATTGTTGTCTGAAAAGTAAAGGAGACACGCCTTCACCACTCCCCAGCAGAAAAATGTTTGAACACATCAGCTTGGCAGACGAGCAGTATCAGCATTTCTGGGGAAGACACCACACCCACTGCTCCGTGCTGTTTGGACAAGCCTGAGGAATGCCCTGCTTTGTTTATGACTGACTGGCATTATTTTCTGCAGATCCTCTGTAATACATGAGACATAAAAAAAATAAAAAATAAAAAAAAACAACTCCCCAAACTGCGAGTCTCACCCTGAACAGGGAGAAGGCTGATTTCTCTTATCTTCAAAATGTCCAGCACAAAGTGTGTACATTTTACCGTCGTTGTGGTTCAGGTTATGCAAGCTGTGCAGATCTGATGCTATTTCTCAAGTGAGCAGCAGTCTCGTCAACACTGCTGTACAGTCAGGTGTAAAGTAAAGGCTACACTTTATTTAAATAATGCAATAACATTTATTTAGTGTTCCAGCTCACTATTCCTCTTTGGCATTTTCTTAAATATGTTGTTTAACCTCATCATCCTATCTATACATGAGCAAATGCTTAATTTGATTAATGGGGGATGTGGCTCGTTCCTTGAAATCCAAACTATGAAATTCTGCACGTTTCAAAGTCGTCTCGCTCAGCCAAGTCTGGCATAAGATCCAGCAGTTAATATGAGAAAATACATGCCGTGTGGGGAACTAGTTTGGCACGCTAGTTTTAATTTTGTGTGTTTATTTTCTGACGGTCTCAAATCAAGACCAAAACATTTTGTTTTGTACATATAAATTATGTCAGTTCTATAAATGATACCTGTATTTTGAAATTACTCAGTGAAACCTGATGCATTTTTCCTGTTTGGTTACTTGTGGATAATGTGCACTTAACTAGGCAACATGCAAGTGAAACCTCTACTCATTTCTGGACGTTTCAGTCTCTTCTCATCCCAACACTTTAGATGCTTTTTGTCTGGTTTTATGTACAGTTAAATGCCTCCTAATGTTTTTATATTCAAGTTTTACAAGTAGTCATATGTGACCTTAAGGTTTTATCTAATGTTCATTATGTAAAGCAACAGATCTGAGATATTAAAATGTACTTAGACCCTACAAGAAAACCATTATTAGATAAGTTCCACTCTATTTAATAAAGTAATTTCAGAGATAAATGAAGAATTTCTTTCAATGCTTTCAAAAGCTAGTCTGGTCAAATGTTAGTGTTGCATAAAGACGGGCTGACTTTTATAGGAAGTGAAGATTTTGTGCAACTTGTCTAGAGATTATCACAAAGGGGAACTATTATGCTAATTTCTTGGGGGTATTGCAGTAGATTTGCATGATGCAGTGTTAAAAATAATTCAAATTTATCTTGTATTCAGCCTTGGGGCAGCCCCGGAGTTCGTCCTGCATCTAAAATAAATAATTGTGGCCCTCTTCTTCCTCCTTTAAAGCCTTTCTTCCTTCTTAACGGCTGGTTTTTGAAAGAGGGTTTGAACAGCAGAATGGTGACTTTGTTTTTTTTTAAATGTAGAGCCAAAGCTCCACCTTGGTTTGAGACATCTGTACAGATTGTGCATGCTCTCATACTTACACAGGATTTCTCAGCCATATGAATATGAAGCTCAGGTGGCTGTTTATTGCAGTGATGTGAACTTCAAAGAAATTAACATTTTCAGAAAAAGTAAATTCAGTTGCTTTGAAAATGCAATGTGTACTTTGGTCCATGCTGCTTATCTTGACAGCAAGACTTCCTGGTTAAATAAAGATTAAAAAAGAAAAATCATTCAGGTATTTTTAAGTTGAGCATTCACCATTGAAACAATATACACATGACAGTAATTAAGTTTAGGTCCACTGAACCAAAAACATCTAACTGACGTCTTAAACGTAAAGTAGTAAACGGGCACCAATGTAAGCACAAAGCCACAAGAAGTCTGATTCAAATTATGCTTTATTTGTTAGGTTTTTAAATGGAATAACATGAAGACTACATGAGTGTATTCAGGAGCCTGGCCCTGACGACATCCTACACAATAAATAGGAATAACATACTGGATGTTAAGTGTGCAGCAGAGTCTGCCTCTTACTCGCACAGAATGCCTGATGGTTCGGAGATTACCTCCATCATCACTTTCTCTTTAAGCTCCAGAGGCAGGGAGGGGGAGGGAGGTGCAAGTAGGACTGCACGCTTGGCTTCACCACAAACACACACACACACACACACACACACACACACACACACACACACACACACACACACACACACACACACACACACACACACACACACAAAAAATAAAAAAAATAAACACATCACACACACACAGAGCGACAAGATTCCAGTCTTCTTAAAAATATATAAACCAAATAATACCATGGATTCATGTAAAACACTACACTACTATCTGTGCAGCTCCCATTCGTGTAAAAGTCTGACATGTGGCAAGTCATCCTCAAACAATTACTTAAAAATATGTTCTCTTTAGCTTTTAGAAGGAAAATCTGCAAATTTCACAAAGTAAACACTAGGAAAAAAAAATTGTTGCGCAGCATGTCCTCAAGTAGTAAATCCCTATGGGTCATAAAAACAGGAAACATGAGATATTAAAAGAGAAACGTAGCACCAGACTGACCTTAATGCTGCCTAACTAACCAGGCGCATAAAACACAACAGCTCCCTTTTAAAAGTTTCAAACACTGATTGCATTCTCCCACTCAGAGCAAATAAAGCAATCAGGTCTGGCCTCAGAGTATAGAAAAATACTGCCCACAACAAATCCCGCTTCCTCGCAGCAGCGTGAATTCCCTAAAACTTCCCAAATCATCGAGTCTCCCACTTGCTTCAGCATCTCATTACCTTCCCGTTCACCTCTTCCTCACTAATGCCCTCAGCGCTTTCAAAGTACAGTTTAGAGAGCACATACAATTTGCAGTACCTTCATTTCCCACATACTGTATTTCATCTGTATCCCAGTCAGTCCCGGTACAGTACTGTACCCAGTAAAGCTTCAGTCCTTCAGAAAACCTGAATTTAAGCCCTTTGTGTTGGTCCCATAAAAACAGCATCTCCCATCAGTCTATGCGATCAAAGAAACAAGAGCACAACATGTGCAGGAAAAAAAAAAGCTCATAATGTACACCTCTCCCTTTCATTATATCCTGTATAGTGGGACAAATGTTACCATTTACATCATTAATCAAGCAAAATGCAGAGACCATTAGAATCAAGAAGAAAAATGTTAACACTTGAAACTGGCAGTATCTTTCATTTGTTAATGTTTAAATGTCTATTTCACATAGAAATGACACCGACAAGTCTCTGATGCCCCAGAGGCCCAGCCTCCAGATACACGACGCTCATTTCAGTTTCCGTTGATCTCCATGGGACCTCCTTTAGGTATGAGGAGGCTCATCCTGCCTGCAGTGCTGGCTGCACTTTTGATCACCTCCATCCATCTGTGAAGAGCAGACATGCTACTGTAATCTGATGGATGAAGAACTGCACGGTTGGAGGAATCAACTGACCTGAATCAACTTACCTTTCAAAGGTGTACTCGCTCTCTGCTCTGAAAAAGTATACGTGAGACTTGAACTGAAGTTTGAAGACGTACTCCTTGTGAATGCTGTCCGATTCCTCGGGCGTGCTGACCGTGTAGCCGAGCAGTGGAAGGCTAGCCAGCGGGAAGTCGTCCTGCAAACGAGACATCGACAGACACCTCAGTGACGTGCTTTTACGTGGGCTCGATCTTTGTCACAGATCTATAAGGGCTGACCTGATGAGTCTTATAGAAGAACAAGCAGAAGTTGGTGAAAACGACCCAGAGTTTCTGCCAACCGTTACTGTTCTTGAACTTCCTCAGGAGGTAACCCGAGAGCTGGTTCTACAGAGGAAAGAGGAGAAAGGAACAAGGTTAGACACTGATTGCTAAAATTAAATGGATTTAATGCTGGAGTTTAAAGTTTCATTCATGTGATCTGTAGATAATGCATGTTTGTGTGTTAATTCTAAGGTGAAAGAGTTAATGCATGCTGGCGCTCTGAAGGTGGAGTTTGATCTGTAGTAATTATAACAGTAAATGGTAAAATGGTAAATGGCCTGTATTTATATAGCGCTTTTACTAGTCCCTAAGGACCCCAAAGCGCTTTACATATCCAGTCATCCACCAGTAGCACGTCCATGTGATACACGGCCTCACTAACCCTGCGTTTCATCAACAAGTGGTTGTAACTCGGCTGTTTTTGCTAATGTGCTTCTGCGTTAGCTGCCAGGAAGACTATTCATTCAGTTTGTTCACCATTACCATGGTGATTTAACCAGGTAAAGAGAGACCTTCCTGGCACCGTAAACTCTGGCTTGTCGACACTCAGCCCTCAGCTCTGATTTGCATCTAAAAATTTGAAACCGCCACCATCTTAGTCCAACCGAGGAGAGATACAAGCATGAGCATATCAGTTCTTGCTTAAACTCTGATTCAGATTTTGATTTAAGAAACCCAAACCTTAAAAAACAAACCATTTTTGCTTTCATGCTTCTGTTACATTTTTGTATAATTCTATTCAGTACACTAAGGAGTCTACCCAACAGGGAGATTAGCCGTGGAGCCATTTTTCTCTCTGACACTTGGACACGGAAATAAATATCTGGCATTTTTAAAATGCTGAAACACTTTTCTAGTTTTCCTGACCAAAGTGCTTAAAATTTCATTACCCAATGTGAGGCTCAAACACAACCCTTGAATAAAGAGTCTCAAGCGCAATAGCCTGAGGTAGCCTGGCTCCTTCGCTCTGCTTCCAACTTTTCAATCTGGTATTTAAAATATATGCATTTTCCGTTCTTCATTATCTAAATGCTCGTGTTGCCTTCATTTTTGCGTGCTTTACTTCTAATAATTCTTCTATTTAACATTATTTGTTTTGATCCAAACTGAAATGGAGACTTAAATTTGTTTTGAATGCATCTCCTGGGACACAAAGTAGTAATTCTAGCAATAAATTGACAAATAAACACCTTAGATGTTTGTATTTCTTGGAATTCCAACATCACTCTTCATCAATTCTCTCTCTTTATGACTTTAGGGAGGGAACACAGTCACTGTGTAGCTCAGTATTCTCTTTCGGGTCAGTGGATCGAGTACCTGGTTCATGCGGAGGTAATCAGTGAGAGAGAGGTTCTGGTTTCGGTACCAGCAAACATGTGTGATGGTATTTGGTCTTTGGCCCTGACCGAGGAGATAGCGAGGAGGAAGTTCTGGTGAGATAGCCGGAGAACCGAAGACTGGAGGAGGTCGAAGAGAGAGAGAGAGGCGGGGGAAAAAAGGAACAAGAGGGTGCAGAAAAAAGTGTTAGCATGTTAGCTCTGAGAAGTGGAAAGAAGTGCATGTTAGGAAATCCTTCAGGTCTGTGGGGTGAAAAGCCAGTGTCAGAGGAAGGTTCTTGCATGCACATAAAGAACAGAAGATGATCTATCAAGGAGAAATTGACTGTTAGAGCCTTAAAGAACTTAAAATGGAAAAACAAGGTGGAAAAAAATGAGCATTTAAAAAGGCGTTAAAGGGTTCAGAAGAAAACAGAATGCAAAGCCATTTCCGCTCACTCCACTGATGCTGGTATGAAGATGGGAGGTTTGATGTACGTGCTGTTGGTGTGTGTGGTGTGCATGCTGGTGTATGTAAATGGCAGTGTTTGCATGTAATTTGGGGCAGGGGAGGAGTACCTCCACAGCCAGGCTGTGGTCAGACATAGACACACTGGTGTTGCGATGCCAGCACACATGCATGGTTGTGTTGGCACGGTGGTGCGTCTGCTTGTCCAGTGAAGTGCGGGAGGAGTTCATGTCATCCTCAGACTCCTGCTCCAGAGAAACCTCGTCGGACGACCCTAAGGGGGGAGGGTGGAGGACAGGAAGTTGTGTAGAGGAGAGGAGGGGGAGGGATTAACAGTACGTTTGGGGTGTTTGTGTCCAAACGGGATTTTCTGCTCACTAAGCTGAGAAAAAACTCAAAATAGCCACAAAAACACACATTTACACTCAAGGCTGTGTAGGTATCGAGTTTAAAGAAAACTTACGGTTGGAGCGATCGCTGAGTCCAGCGTCAAGAAAGATGCTGGATTTCTCTTGAGACTTCTTGGCCATGTCGATAGCCAAGTTCAGATCCTCAATCCACTTTCCCATCTCCACTTTAGAGCTGAAATCACAAACAGACAAATTACGGCGTTGCGGACACATTTTTAGAGAGAACTGAGGATGATGTAACCCATTATTGGGATACTTCCAGTTTATTATAACAGGGTTCTTTGTTTCTGTGCTTTTGGCCTGAATTTGTAGAGATTTTAAATCAAGACCATAAGAACTTTAGAGATGTAAGAATGTGGTGGTGTGGCCAATGAAGTCTGACAGGCCAAAAATAACATAAGCCACTTTACTTTGAGGAAAAACCCACCAAGTATTCAGACTACTATACTAACAAGGGCAGGTCAAGGCAAACCAGAAACATGACTCTTATACTGATGGAAGTTTACAGTGGATGGCTCAGGTAATGATGTTTATATTACAGTGAACACACATATTTATCACTCGTGCCAATAAAAGGAGCAGTATTTGACTGGATTCAGGCACCTGGTGTTTGCTGAAGGTTCACTTAGAACACCTGTTTGGATCTGCATTAGATTTACTTGCATTTATTTGATGTTTATCCGTGATGGTAATAATTACATGGGACTGTGGAAGTACATGATACACACAAATGTGCTGTTCACTGCATGCACAGTCACATGCCACTACTCCAACTTCTCCCCTTCCTAGTCTTACCTGGCAGCCACCACAATGGTCCTCTGAGCAGAGTAAATGGTGAAGCAGTGAGGCACCGACCATTCATTTTCACTTTCTTCTACCTATAAGCAGAAAAAGGAAACTATTAAAAGAAAGCAAAAATGCAAGCTAGATGGAGGAAACGGGTGAAATCCAAATAATGTTCTTCACCATGAATGGTTTCAGATCAGGAGCAGAAAGGGAGAACAAATGTAAAACGTCTGGAGTCACAGCGAGACCTGGGAAAGAGCCTCTACTGAAGCAGCTATGTGTCTGGAGGTAAACTGTGGTGGGGTCGTCTTATCTTTCATATCCTAATGATATCCATGTGCAAGTCAAAACACACATCACTGTGCCCTGCTGATAGTTCACCCTTGTATTTATTTGTATAGAATTATGAGTAGTTATGACAGGCAGAGGCCGACATGTCTGTGTGTCTTGAGTAAACACTGTATATTTAATTTTTAAAAAAATGGATGTAGCCATTAAGACATCACCCATTGATTTGTGATCATTTTGGCAGTCACCACCTCAGTGTTTTGAACCTGTACAGATGATGGAGGGGTGGTACTGACTGAGAAACCAGCAGAAACTTGTCCATCACAAAGTAGTCACACTGAATTATTCTTCAAGTCTCAGTTAAAGTAAAATAGCTGATAATTTAGTAAACATGTGTATTAGGTACACGGGAGTGTGTAATGCTGTCATAAGTGAGAAGCAGGCTCATTTTCTCAGATTTCTATGCAGCATTACTTCTTTTTAGAATCAGAATCACTGCCCCCTGCTGGCCATTAGAAAGAATGCAAGTTTAGGCTTTAAACATTTGCTTCATGTTTCAAAAGCTGAGGCTATTTCCATTTCTTTTTATATGCAGTCTACTGTCTTAAGATGAGCTTTTCGCTTCGTCTACACGGGCATGGGAGGAAAGAAGGGTCTGGTTTGGGCATCCAAGCTGGCAGAGCTCAGAGGACTTACCGGTGCATCCAACACTATGAGCTGCAGCCAGGAGCAAAGCAGAGACATGTAAAGTTAGGAGACCCTCACCCTCCCTTCTCAACACTTTGTGTGTCAGAAGAATTGGAGTACCCGATTATGAGATGTTAGCTTTTGTGTAAACCTAACTACAGAGTCTTACTGGGAGCTTTAATGGTTAAAACAGGATGGCAGAGGTTAAGAGAAGAGACTGCAGACTCACTATCATGCCATGAAGGGGCAGCTGTCCATGGACTTTGAACTGATTGGTTGCTGTAACACCTTTGCTTGTGTAAAGGAGCATGTCAGAGAACTGAAAAGACATGAAGGCAAAGATTAAAAAGTGCTAACAATGATTAGAAGCTTTAGACGTTAAGTGGAAGTAGATTTTGTTTTTAACTAACCAGGAAAAACATCCTCTGCTGTAGCCCCTTTTTGGTGAGCTTGTACAAGCACCCCTCTCGAATGAACTCCTATAAAAAAAAAAATAAAATAAAATAAAAAAAGACAACCTTGTTAGATTGTATGCACTTATTTCCTGCACTTCGCTCTGTGCCACTGCACCCACCCTGCCTGGTGCAGTCAAGTTCTCGATGCCGATCAGGTCTCTCTGCAGCTCTGTGAGCTTCTGGAAATTCTCCAGCCGGATAAGACTGCTTTGAAGCTGAGTGGCTATCTCCGCCACTTCCTTCAGAGCCTCTGTATGGGAAGACAAATGAATAACCAGAAGATGATACATGGCAGACTTATCACATTCCTGCTACAGTGACGACCAAGTGGAAATGATTTTCCACATGAATACCGTTTCCTTTGAGAGTTTTAATATTTCTCTTACACATTAATATATGATGTATTAATCTTGTCTCAAAGAATGAATAAAACTAGACTTTCACTACAAACCTGCTTGTGATAACACTCAAAGATAGTAAATATACTGAAGCATTTCCAGATTAATAGCGTTAGTCGTAGCGTTTTCAGTGGGAGAAACGTTTGTCACTCATCCAAGCGTCTTCTTTAGTGTCAGCTGACTGCAGCTTTCCCCACCTTATAAACTGTACATTTTCATAATGCATATTATACAAATGTACTACATATTATATAATGCTTAACCTCCTGACTACCAGGAAAAAAAATGTTGTCCAATCAAAAAAATTTTTAAATCCCCCAATGTTTGTAAAGTAATTAGAAGACTGAAATAATTTTTTGGGAAAAAAAAGTTTACATTTTTTAGATATCACATGTCCACTGCAGAGGACATTGGAAGGCCGAACGTGTAAAAATGAACTTTGATGGCAAACATTTGCTTCAACTCTTCACCAAGAAGAAGTTTGAACTCAAGGAACTGTAGTGGTTTCTTCCCCCAAAACTGCAAGTCACTGCTATACTGAAGCCACGAGTTGGTGATTGCCAGATCAAAAAGTAGAAAACTGCACATACTGTCAATTTCTGAGTGTGAGAGACCATCCTGTAGAAACTCAACATTCAATATGGTCCACATCACCTATATTGGTAGTGTACTCGGCAATTGCCAGTGGACTTGGCACATGGACAAACCTTTTGTTTTTCTTAAACCATCTTGTGCGTCTGTCCTGAGGTTGATTGCCATAGGATGCCATGACAACTGTCCAACCACTTAATGACAGCAAGTTCAGGTCTGAGTACCATCCCTGATGCTCCTCCTTCTTTCTTCTTCTTCAAGGGCTTATTCCCTATGATCTTCTTCATCAGACAACTCAAGATCTGGGTTTCCCTCATCAAACTGCAATAAGTTTCTTTCTGCTTCTAAAAAGGACTCCTTTTCTGGTCATTTAAAAAAAACAGAACAAAATGGAAGAAATGACTACAAATGTCCACTACGGAGGACATTTTTTAAACACTTCAATACTATACTAAAATGAAGTTAGAATTAAGCATACTATGTTTTAATGTGTTATTAAGAGACTTATTTAAAATATGCTAACAACATTTATAGCTAAAAATTGCTCAATAAGAAGTTTTATGCACTTACTTTTCTTCTTCCCATAAAATGTGCTTGCAGCGATGGCTGCCATGTTCCTTAATGAAAAAACTAAAGTTCCCAAAGCTCCACCCCTTCACATTTGGTATCATTGGAAAGCCCTAAATGTCCTCTGTAGATACCAACAGGAGGCAATTCTGTAGTATGCAGTGCATGGGAGATATTCAGGTTTAGAAAGGTGCTCTACAGAGGACAAATTTGCATTGCTGGTAGTCAGGAGGATATGCAGTGAATAAACTTGTGAATACTTGATTGGGTGAAAGTAAGCGGTCTTCACCAGAGGGACAATGTGCTCTTGCTGCATGCTACCATTTGCAGTTCCCTTGCTTACTACTAGTTGATGCATTCGAATGTTACAAAGGACTGATGCTGTGAGATGGTGGGGTATTATCATCACCGTCATGACGTAAAAGAAGCTTTAGAAAACTCACCCTTGCAGTCGTCATAATCGCGGTGGGCAGGGGAATAATGCTTGCACAGTCTCTCCAGGATTAGCTTGTAGTGCATGAGTCGCTGGATGGGCTTGAGCAGGAATGTGTTGAGGGGCAGGTAGCAGACCTTCTGCAATTCAAACTCTTTGTAGACCGTCTCCAGCTTCTTCAGCCTCTTGGAGGCCTTCTCCAGCTCTGTTAACACTTCATCGTGTTTCTGTAGATAACTGGTGAATTCCTGGAGACCAAACGAGACTCGGGTCACTCTGTTTGTCAGCCAATTGTGAAAGAATAAATAAACATGTTAAACTAACTGAAGTTGTCCTACCTTAAGGGCACACATGTTCTTCAGCATCACGTCGCCAATCCTCTGGTAGTCTCCTTTGACATGAGCATTTGAACGCCCCTCCCTTAGGAAAAAAACAAACAAACACAAAACACATGTACGGAGTTTCTTATTAGTGAAGCTCCTGCCTGATGAGAGGGTGTTTCTCTCACTCTCAAACACAGAACTTTTTTAATTGCAATGACGTCACTCCCCAGTTACAAAATCCAACTTCCAAAGTACATTGAACACCCACAACCAGAAGCACCTACCAGAGAGCCAGTCTCTGGTCCAATTCCTTCAGGAAACCTCGGTGGAACTCGTAGATGGGGTCGATGTTGGAGAACAGGAGGGTCATCAGGCCTTCGGGCATGGCGTTTTCTTTGATCACAGCACTACGGAACCACTGGGAATAGCCAAATGGAAAAGTCCCGTTAGTACATGGGTGTGAATGAAAACGGCAAGTCTGGTTTAACGCTTGCTGATGCTGAAGAAAAGTGTCCCAACTCTTCTTCACAGCGTCCTTCCCAAAAGCAAATCTCGTCTCTAGGCAGTTATTTAGGCAGCAATTCTGAAGGAGGATAAACTTTATGTCTCAGTAACCATGAAAATACACTGCATGTGTTGAATCCCCAGTGAAACCTGATTGCAAAAAATTCAAGTTTAGTAAAATTTGCAAAGTTTGCATGTGCAAAGTTTCATCACAGCTTCATTAACCATCAATCCAAAGCACTGCTCACGCCACCAGAGCCCTGAACAAAGGCCATGCTAATTCACACTATGCTAGAAAAAGTACATGTTGACTACAAGCATAAATGCCTTTAAGGGGAGCAGTGTTACAACACATCTGGCTTTCTGAGATTTCATTCTGATGCCAGTGTCCGTCTCTCTCTCATCATATATTGGTACAGAATTAAAAGCATGAGGATATTATTCCAAAACTTGACATTCAACCTATGAAAGCACCTGACGCTGACTCACTATACATTAAGGAGAAATGGGAAAGTGAGTGTGTTCGTAAGATTAGCCAAAACTATTCTACAAACAACGGTATGGCATTTAAAATAGAAGGCCTTTTATTTCTTTATTGGACTTCAGAAAATATAAATTATAGGGTTTGATGCCAGTTTCGCATCTTAAGGACTGAAGGTTGAATTACCCAGTAATATAAAAACCCCAAGAAAAACATCCAAAACAATTAGCATCATCAATATGCAACACACTGAGTTAAACTCAATTTTACACATGGAAACACTGCATGTGCATGTATTATGCAAAATGATATCATGTTAATAGAAGTTCATACATGCATGACACAGCAGAACTGCACAATTTCAGATTGATTACCCATTTTCGCTCCTACAGCTTTTGTATATATATTTTTTATTGATTTTGTCCAAATGTCCTTAAAGTTTCAAAAGAAAAACTTACCACAGTGATGACCTCGAGGTCCTTCAGGTATGTTCGCTCTGTGGTCAGAATCTCTTTGGCAATGAAATAGGCCTTATCGGTGGGATATCGCTGCGGTGAGAGACATCAGTTAACACTCGTGCTGTCAAAAATAAACTCAAAACTTTTAAGCAAAACTAACTTTCCCTCCACTGAAAAAAAACAAAACAACCCCCCCCCAAAAAAAAAAACAAAAAACCTCCCATCCCATTGTTAATTAGAGGGACTGACTGAGTGAGTGAGTGTGTACTCCGTGCTTTATGGTTGTGAGGCAGGTTGTTGGAAGGATTGGCATGTAAGAGGTGTACCTTCCTCCTGCCTTCCTCCTCCTCCTCTAGCCTGGCATTGCTGCCCACCTCGCTCAGGATGGGGCTTTGCAGGGGCGACGGGGTCTGGCCCGGCAGGCTGAGGTTCGACATCTGGAAGGAGGGCGACAGGCAGAGGGGACCTTTGGAGGCAACGGGGGAGAGCTGAGGGCTGTCCACCACTGAATCTGTGGAAGAGGGAAAATTAAAATTATAAAATGCTTATCTTTATATCACTTTATATTGTGTCAGATTTCAGTAAAAGGATAAAAACAAAGACGGGTTAAAAAACTAATTATACAGATTAAACATGAGCTTTTCAGGGCAGAGCTTAAGACAACCAAGACCTCTGCGTGTAGTTGACCTCCTTCAGAAACTGTACGCAACTATTAAAATTGATCTTCATCCAAACCATTTTTTCCACCCCTAAATTATCTCATTTCCTATTAAAGAAAAAAACAAAGCCACAGATTCTAACAAATCCAAGTTCATCACACACACAAGCCACAAATAAAGGGAAGGCAACAAAGGCAAGTAATAGTTCCCACATTTTCCCCCTCCTGCCCTGGCTTCAAACGCCCTCTACGAGGAAGACAAACAGTAAGCTACACAGGCTCGATTCACGGCAGAGAACCGGCTCTGCTGCTTTTGTTCTGCACAGAAAATCACGAGACAAAACAAGCAGATGAAACGCCAGGTCATTATCTTAACCGAGTCATGGGTCACCACAGCTGTTCTTCCACTTCTATTAGAGAGGGAAGGGGGGGGGGGGAGGAGGCTGGGAGGAGAAAAAAAAAAAAAAGACAGCTCCACGACTCACTACTCGACCCGGAAATAATTGCTCATGCAAAGAGTTATCAGGAATGCGGCCTGTCTGGAGGGCAAACAGTTGTTTATAGTTTATTTGAAGTGCCCCCACCACAGGGACTGACACGAGGGGAGGAGAGGGAGCGGACGTCGGGCTCCACAGCGGGAGGATGGGGGGTTTGCTGTGGAATGACTTGGCACAAGGCCCGTCCAAACAGAGAGCGCGAGCACACACACACAGCTGGAATTAGGTTGAGGAATCTTGTGTACAAGTCCGACCCAACCCCCAACAGCATGTGCGTCTGTTGCCTCAAATATGACGGAAAACTGCTGTATATCGAATTCTTCCTCTAATAACGTTAGCAGGATCCCTGGAGTGTCATGCGATACACTCTGAACACACCAGGGAGTGGTGTCAGTGTAGGATATTAATGAGTCAATGCAAACATTTTGGCTGAATGACAGATTTGTGCGCAATAAAAAACTGATTTGTAGTTGTTCCTGCAACTAAAACAATGTCAGGATACAGCAGCAGATATATTATATGCAACATACGTAAACTTCATCCTCCACGTTCTTGACCATTAAGCTAATATCCAACACCAAAAGGGTTTGTGTTCCACCATTACTACTCCTTTGAGTTTAATCTGCAACTTTAAAGAATTTTAAGTCTGACATTCATGGTACCCAAAAGTGATTACTTTATTCTTTAAAGTAAAAACATACAAAACATTAAGTACAGGCTGTTTATGATTAGTAAAAATATACATGTTCAGGATTAAGGTGTGATTACTTGGTGTCTAAGTGCAGGTTAGCTGGTTATAATTGTCAGCTAGTCGTTAATGAAAACTTTAGTTAAGTGGGAAGAATCACATGGTAGAAAAAAATAAAAATAAAGAGCCATCAAGACAAATCCTTCAGATCAGAAAACTCTGAAGCAAAATACGATTACTCCATGGTGACACAGAAACACCCGTCCACACCCGTGACTGCAGAGTCTGCAGAAACACTTTGGGTGTGTTTTGCCCATCCTTCAAAATGACAATGAGGACAGATGAGATTTATCCATCTGGTGTCTACTGATTACAAAAAAATAAAAAACTGCATTGAGGTGCAAGTGCTGCACACAAAAAAGGAGTTTCTCTAAAATGTACAGAAAAATCAAGTAGAATTGAGTTCGGGCACATTAAAGAGATGAAAATCAAAGCATGTATCATCGTCATCTTAGTTGGGTTAAATGTAGAATCAGCCCTTACAAATCCTTACACCAGATATATCTCAGTCGAGCAAACATTACAGGGAAATATTCTGTCCACACTGATGTGTTAATAACCCGACATGCCTGGATTTTTCCTATAAAATTACTTAGAAATGTGCAAAAAAAAAAAAAACCCCAAAAAAACCCCTGTTTCCTAAAAAAGTTATCAAAAGGATTTCCTGTAAGTTTTTAGGTCTGATCAAATGTTTGAAAAGGTGCTTCATTGCTCTGCTTTCATTTGTTAATCAAGAAGTTTAAAACACTAAAGCCTTACACACAAACAGGTGATACATTCATTCTGTAGAAAGTGGTGCTAACGGCGCACTTAATGGCTCATCAGTACACCGTTTACATTCTTCTTTCATGTTGAGCTGAGTTAAAATGTTAGCTGGTGTTGGCTTTCTAAAAATATAATTATATAGACATTCTAAACCTATCAAAACAAAAGAAAACTACCACAGCTGGGGATTTTGGGATGTGAACAATGCTGACTTTCGCCAGCAGGTGGCAGCAAGGTACAAGTGGGGCAGGGAAAAAAGAAAAAAAAAAAAAGACTTAATGGCATGCCCTGTGTTTTTTTTTTTTTTTTTTTTTTTTTTTTTTTTTTTAAAGGGGGGGCTTTAATATTCATTTGAACAGGGACTAATATTGGTTTCATTTTTCAACCCTGAGATTAGACACAGATTACCATCTACCAGAAAACTCTACACTGCCCAGTAAGTGCCAGATATTATTTTTAAAAACAAACAAGTAGTTAAGAAGTTAAATGCTTGTTAAGTACTTTAAGTACATTTAGCTCATTTTTATTCCAACCTGTAGGTCAGGACAGAATTCTTTTTTAAAAAGTAGAAAATTATTAAAAATTCTGCATTACTTACAAGCTTAAATTATCTGAAACCATCATCTCAAGTGATCAACTTTACACACAGAAGAATAACTTTTCCATTAAACACTCACTATTCAAGTGGAAGGTAATTTGGATAACTTGTCCTATGCTAATGCGTACATTAGCGTTTTAACAGGAGTCATGTTGTGTCTTAAAAAAGATCAAGCTTCCAAAATAAATGCTTTTTTCCAAAATGCATTTCAATATTTTCTCTTAAAAGGCTAAATGTTACAGAGAAGACAACTGTAAAAGAGATGGCATTCGAGGCTCTCGTAAAAATAAGAGCCAAATTCCAAGAGAAGATAGGAATGATGTTAAAAATAAAAGAACCTCCTCAACCAGACAAGGCAGGAAATAAAAGCTAAGATTATAGCACTGCCTGCAACTAAAGTTGTGTATGGGGAAGGTCAAAGTGAAATGATGTGGTGTCTTCACTGAGAAGCCTCAAAGTTCAGGTGATGGCGATGATGATGAAGAACCACCCATCTTTTTCAACAACTACAAACATCTTTTAAGTGCTGGTTCAATGGTGAAATGTGCCGAATTATGCTTCAGTAGGAAATCTGCCATGTAGCCAAAAACTCCTCTTAACCTTTCACATAACCAGACGTGCACCTCTTGAGAAATGCAGCCCGCAGAGACTGATGTGGAAGGTTATGGTGTAGGGTTAAGAGGAGTTTCCGGTTACCACACAGATTTCCCGCTGAAGCATAATTCAGGTAATATAATGTCATCTCTACATTTGGACAGCCCTAGACTGTCTTCAAGTGCTTTACATTTTAACATGTGGGGATCCAGAGGGGTCTGCTAGTGTCAGAGCCTGCAGATTGTGACACTGCAGGAGGAACCCCTCGATTCCACTGTTTCCCGTCAAAGGATTGCTATAAAATAGGTTCTGCTCAGGGGGAAGGACGCTGTCAGAGCCCCAGTCGGAGTCTGAATCTGAGCTACCGTTCCCTGAACCCTCTGTGGCAGTGGGCGGGTAGCTGAGCTGCTCCAGCTGCTCCACCAGGTCACTGAACTGCACCGCGGAGCTGCTCTCCGAGCGTACAGAGTACGCTGGGAAGTTGACCATGGAGCTGGCCTCCGACTGGATGTCAGACCCAGGCAGGCGAAGCGAGGAGGTGTCAGCTCCTCCGTAGCCCACTGACATGGACTCCCCTGCAGAGCTGAGCCCCAGGTTATCCAAGGAGCTGCACTCTGAGCGGTTGTTAACCAAAGAACTAGTCTCAGAGTGACCTACAATACTGTCAGGGAAGGGATTGGGGTTCCCATTCAGATCTTCAATTCCCACACTAAAGAGCCGGTTTTTGCTAAGCTCAAGTTCCTCCATTAAATCAAAGTTATCTACTTTATCCTCCAGCCCAAAAGAGTAGGCCTCAACACCCCCGGCATAGAAGGAAATCTCAGTGGGATCGTCATCAATGAACTCCTCAGTAACCTGCAGTGGTGAGCTGGACAATGAGAACATGGGGTTCTGTTTAGTACGCAAAAGCTCTGCCTCAAAAGCCTCAGGTGTAAAAAACCCCGTCCTCTTCCCTCCACCCCACTTGGCCCCACGCTCACTATCCTCATTGCCATTTTTGGAGGGCTGTGACTGAGCGGTGCCACTCTCTGAACACACAAACAAGGGGCTGCAGTGTCCTGCTGCCTGATTGCTGGGGGCACCTTGAAAAGCGTAGGGTGACGGGGAAGTAGGCTTGATGGGCTCTTCCTTCGGAGGGCTGGGGGGTCTGGTGGCTTGCAGAGGGGACTGAAGCTGCTGCTGCTGAGAAGGTGCTGGAGACTGACTCAGTGCGGTCAAAGGCTGGGGCTGGCGTTCTGTTAGCGGGAAAACGCTAGGGATGTGCATTGACTGGAAAGTCACGGCTGCGGAAGAAGACGAGCCCGGGAACCTGAGACTGTCATTGAATGAAAAGCTCTGAAAAAAAAAACCAAAAACAAAGCAACACAGAAGAGAGACAAAAAACAAAAAAACAAAACAAAACCAGAGAGGACAGCAGAAAGAGATAAAGGGAGAAAAAGATCCGTGTTAGCTTATCCATTAAACAAATCTATGGCTGTATTATCACCACATGTTGCAGTATTTACCTGTTTTGGCACATCGGTTGCGAGGGATCGAGCCGACATTCTTACTTTACTGTTCCTTCTGAAAGAAAATAAGATCTCCATGTCATCTTGTAACAATTACCGTTATGATTTTATGCAGATTTCTCTTCCAGTGGATGCTTAAGAAGAATTAGAAAGAAACGGCTTCTCTTTGTGATAAATTGTGTGTCTAAACTCAAACACACACATACCTCTGGTAAGGGGTCCGCTTTGCTCCATTTTCCCTGACATATTCCACAAGCTGCTTCTGGGTCCTTCCGCTGGCAGAAAGAGTTTTAATTAAACCACTTCAATGTACTAAACCAGTAACAGTGACACATGGCATTATTTTTATGTCTTTAGTCAATACCTGTATCTGAAAGAGGAGCCTCTAGTGAAAAGGACAGCTTTGGATTTGGGCTGTGGGTGGTCAAACAGTCGGAAGAATGAGTGGTACTCAACGCAGATCTTCCAGAAGACTTTGCACTGGTCTCGACTGCCCATCAAAAATTCAAGAGTGTCCTGATGGGGGCCCTAAAACAAAGATTAATAAGAAGCAGAATGCATACAGCCATCTGGTCTCAGTCTCAGTGTATATGAAATCTAAGATTGAAGGACACTGATAACACTTACATGGACTTCTGGGTGAAGCTTGATCAGGAAACGTTTTCTTTTGAAGCTCAGTTTGCGAATCTTGGACCAATTGAAGGTATTTATTTTTGTGTGGCCCTGAGAGAGAAATACAGGTGGAATAAAAGACAGACACAATCATCAGTAACACTGTTAGGATATATGCACAAGGAAGACATTTGGATTTAGAGCAGCAGTCACCTGAAAAACCTGCAGGCCCATGTGAGCGACAGAGAGGTTGATCTTGGTGCCTTCGCGATCAGCTGCTGGGTGGAAGCGGACGCCGTACATTTCCAGTTTACGGGCGATCTCCAGGATCTGGAAGTCTGATTCAGCAGGAGTCTGCCCCCTGGTATCAACAACATAACAGAAGTTATTAATACTCACTGTAACAGCAGGTCCTCTACGTGCTGTTCTTACAGTGCACAGGTGGAAGGGTTCCTCTCAGTGGTCCACTGACAGGTTCAGATTTATGTGCACATAAATAAACCCTTTTTTTGGCTCTACGTTCTGTGTAACGTGCTGGCTTTATACACAGCAGATTTAACAAACAGGAGAAAGATACTATGATGGGCCTAATGTAGAGTAGGGCCCGTCACAGATTTGTTTCCTGCCAAATTCAGTAAATAAAAATTACTGATGTGTTTCAGTGAAGGAACTGAGACCTCCCAAATAATTGCATTAGCACTGAACAAGCTAGATGCCAATTACACCCCATTATGGCTTGTTTAGCACAAAGACAATGCCTCTGTTAATCACAGTCAGTGCTTACACTACAGATTACAGCCAAGCAGCTCAATCGCATTTGTTGCAACAAAATTGGGAGATGAGCTTAAAAAAAAATAAATAAATAAATAAAAAAAAAATTTCAGCGCATTGTCAATAGAATCACAGTCACCGACTCAGCCGTGACGCTGTCATTCAATCTAAATGTACTATTTTGATCAGGCGGAAGTTATACTGCAAATGTCAAATTTACTGATATGAATGTGAAGTCGTTTTGTGTTAACAGTGTTCCCACGTAGTTTCAGTCCTTGGGAACACCATTTTTAGCTTTCTGGCTGTTACCGATTAAACTTGGGTGTTTAAAATAAAAAGCCTAGTGCCAGAGGGCTTAAAACGCTGCTTTTTAAAAATCTTCCCATCCGTGTAGTGAAATGATTAAAAAAATAAATAAAAATCATTTTGCAGTATCTCATGTAGTGTTTGTAATTTAGCAACTTTGAGTTGCTCTAGATCACTTGTATAAACACACCAACATGTCACTTTACGGTCTTGTGATTCACATCTTCCCTTAATCAAATTAACTGTCTACCCCATTAATTTATTAAATTATTTCTCATCAAGTTGGGCAATAATCATCTACAGCATTCAAAGTGTTCGGTTTAACACTACACTATAAATGCGTACAGTTAAAGAATAAAAAATAAAGTTGCCACATAAAATTGAAACCGAGCACGACAGCATGAACTTTAGAGCGAGCAGCGCGACCTTAAATCCCTTATAATTTCGAGGATTTTAGTTATCTAAAAATGGTGCGATTACAACCAAACAGCATGTTAGGAAGACATATCCATCCAATCATCACAGTCTTCTAATTTTGTTCATCTGTTAAGCAGTTAAATCTCCTTAGGGCCCTCCCCTGCCCTACTGGCCTTATGGCTAATAGACCGGCCAGAGCAAAGGATTAGGCCAGGGAGCTCGTTGCTTGTGCTTCCACGCTGGCAACCAAGGGAAGATTAGCAAAAGTCTTTAGAGCTGCCTAACACACTGGGTTGAAAAGAGTCCCCATTGGCCACAGGATAGCACTGCTTTAGCATGGGAGCCAATGATGGGAAAAGTGGAGTGAGAGGTTTTGTAACACGCTGAAAACTGGGAAAAACCCTCACTGTGGTTTGTTTAGCAAGAACACTCAATAGTCACACTTCATTGACCTCATTACAGTAAACCGTGTTAAACATCATTAAAAGAAAAAGAAAAAAGTGCACTGCGCCTGGGTGCTAAAGTTTCAAGATCAGTTTTCAGGAAATGACTATTTATTCGAGCTCATCCAGAAACAAACACCTGAACAAATAAACATGTTGAATAAGTCTCCAGCATCTTCCTACATAAGGGTCTTATTTCTTTATAGTCGTACAAGGCTGGTTGAGGGCGGTCACACTAACAAATTGTTTTCACACATGAATTTTAAGCTATTTCGGGCGAATATGTGTTTCTTTTTTCTCCTCCCCACATTTACTAGTGGCACACAGCAGGAACTGGCATGCTTGAGAGGAGTTTGCACTGCTGGAAATACTCTGTGGGGCTGTCTGGGTAACGCATGCAGCAGGGACAACATGATTCCCAAACGTAGCAGTGAAGCCTCAAACATGCTCCTCTATCAGATGTTTTGTAGAAAAGTGCAGGGCTACAGTGCAGTGGAAGAATGGCTACAGACAGCCAAACATGAGTAATCACGTGGGATGGTTTTATGTAAAGCTTAGGAAGTGACATTTAAACACATTTTTATGCCCAAATAGCTGGAACCCATTTAGAGAACGGGACAAAATAACCAAGAAACTTTATACTCAACATGCTGGAGTGTTTAGTCAAATGCTGAACACTCAGTGACTCTTTTCAGAATGGTTTATGCATGTCTGAATAAAACCAGGGAGACACAGTAATGCAGAAACTCAGATGTCTGAAAGAAGCAACACTTAACAGGCTGATGCGGGTGTTACAGTTTCCACATCAGCGAGGGACCACTTCTATCTGAGTGACGTAAATGTAGTCATCAAGCAGAGAGCGCAAGGCTCCGTCTGCACGCTCCGTCTTTAGGCAGACTTGGAAAGAGACAATACAACATAATGACTGCTTGCCTGTGGTGACTGCAGCTGTCTGTTTGCAGCTGAGTATAACCCCTGCCTGTCAAACCAACAAGGCTATGCATCCCATGTCTTATATAGGCCAATGGTACATTCCATACAAGATGCATCTGGACTTTTGGGGCTCACTGCTTTGGTTTTGTTTACTTTGCAGAAATGCGTTTCACAAACAGTCACACAGCCTTGATGCGGATTCTGCAACATGTGCTGCAGACAGCACAGAGCGCATTATAAAAACACAGCCAGAGTCCATCTGCTGGAAAAATTGTGCGATAACAGGCTTGCACAAAGCATACTTCTCAGCGTGTTTCAATATTAGAACACGCACACGCTGATAACGACAACATGTGTCGCCAGCGGTGAGGTATGATCACCGACTGCTGGGTTGAAGCAGGGGGAAAGGAGCTAAAATGGCTTGTTTCAGATAGACGATCGACTGTAGGGTAACCCAGTACAAGATAAAAGAAACAAAACCTTTTTGCTGTGACTCATTCAAAGCTCCACAAGAAGAAAAGGTCTAAATAAATGAGCCAGTACTACAGTACTTGCTGTGCGTGTGCACTTTTAAGAGGAAAAGCTAAAATCATTTGTTTAATCTGAAGCTTGCATCTCATCTGCCAGTGAAATAAACCCGTGCTATTTTTCATCTACCAGTATGAAAATTCAGCTTCTTATCATCCATACCAATCATGGTATCACAGTGATCGTTTGCATTTCCCCTGCATCCTCACTGCAGGCCAATCTAACAAACCCACAATATGATGGCAATGCCTGGAAGCGACTTCGATGTCATAGTTAACTTGTTTCAAATCGCCTCAACATGTGGTCATCTGGAGAAAATAATGAACTGCATTTATTCTCAGAAGTGCACAGTCAGTAGCTGCATCAGAACAATCTGCAGGCGGCTGGTCTACCGTGAAAGTCGCTACATGACCGTCTGAAGAAGCTGAAAGTCTGGCTGACTTTAATTTTGGTAATGACATCAGGAACAAGGCTCGCATCCCTGTTTACGTTTACAGGTCAGATTCAAGTATTCTGAGTGCGCGAGGAATGCGAGAAAGGAAAGCAGCCATAAACCGAACTACAGGAGTCAGACGGTTAGAGCAATTTGGAAAAGAGGGAGAAAGATTTCACTTAGACAAAACTTACAGGTGCCTGCGATGGAGCTCCATGATCCGTTCTTGTACTTTCTCTTGGTAAGGTAACAGCTTGTTTATCCTCAGGTATTCCCTGTCTGCTGTGTCATCGTAGTCGCCGATCTCCGCTGTGATTTATGGAGAGAAAACGAAGCGAGACTACGCTCATTTCAGGTTTTAACAGATTGTTTCTATTCTTTTGCGACCTGTAGATTTGCTGTTACTTTAGATTATAGCTCACAAATGATTCCCTACACAATTTGCTGCAAATTACCATAAGAATTGCTTTTTGAATCTAGACATTTGCGCTTTCTCATCTGGTCTCTAAAAATGGTAAAACAGTATTAAAAGACCTTTAAGAGGAGGTATAACACACTGAACCCTGGGATTTTTTATTTTTTTTTATTTTATTTATTTTTTTTACAGAGTATAAGAAAATACTGAAAAGAACCTTTTAAGATCTGTGGTTTCTGTGAACAGGATTATGTTCTGAAACAAATCGAGCAAACCAGTTACTAGAGATTTTACAAGTGCTCTTACTACTGCATAATTTAATTTAGTCTGATAACACTGTCGGCTTTAACAAAAACAGAAAGAACTTACATTGGACAAGGTGAGAGGCCAGCAGGGCACCAGTATTTTCTGTGCAGATCAACCTGCCCTCCATCAGATCCCTTTTCATTTGCAGGGAGAATAAATACCTAAAGGAGAGGGGGGGAAAAAAAAAAGCATTTGCACACACACAGTCATAAGCTAAGTGTCCATCTATTTATGTTCATGAGAAGTAAATAAGCACAAACTAAGCTCATCATGGATTAAGCATCTTTAGGAACCTTAAGTGCCATTTAAACAAATAACTCTTGGAAAAACAACGATCACAAAGTTTTTAACTGCAGAAAAAGTAATTTTAAAGAAGACAAAGCATAACAGAGCTTCTATTTTTAAAAAAAAAAAAAGGGAGGAAAAACAGAAACCATGTTCCTCCAGCTCCTCATACAGGTAGAGATAAAAGTGATATTCAAAAGGAAATTACAGTCACTGACCGGGTGTACTCCTCCTGCAGCTGACCCGGATCGGGGGGAAAGAATTTCACTGACAGTCTAAAAAGCGTATTTGCTGGTCCTGTAAACGCACAAGCAGATTATCAATGCCCAAAACACTTTATTAGGTGGATTCAGAGCTAAGAATCAGCCTCACTTACTTCTGACTTGTTTTGAAATGGGTTTTGTGGGTTCCAGCCAAACCTAAAGAGAAAAAATAAATAAAAATAATAGAACATAATGTGAACTATAACTTTGACAGGTGGTGGCAGGATAACTTCAGTGACTCCCTTGTAACACAGCGACTGTTTGCTGCTTCAGCCCCATTTGAAACAGAAGAGAGATGTCACAATGCTGTTGGCAAAACACTGGCTTCAGTGTAGGAGGCTGCTCAAGCCGTACATCTGGGGCTGATTGAGGGAGGAATGCGCTCGATCCAGACAGACATACTGAGAAATTGGTATCAGCTGATTGCTGCCTGAATTCTACTCAATTCCTAGTCACACATGTGCCAGTTTGTATATAAATTTCTATTAAAAAGGAAAAAAAGCTTTCTGGTTTCTGCTTCTACTCCAATTCTACTGGCTAACCACACTTGAGCAGGCTTTGGTAAATGGTCAGTGTAGAGCATAAAAGAGGGATTATATTTGCCAAAACATTCCTGAAACCATCAGCTATCATCTGATGTTGTTTTAAGTTTAAAAACAAATAAATACATAAATAAAAACCTGCATTTGACCTGGATATCCCATAGCTACACTTGAACTTTAAAAAAAAAAAAAACTACCCACAAAGACTGACTAGTAGCAATGTGCTGGTCGAGGAATGTCACTGAAATTGAGAAAACATTGGGGACATCAACTATAAGGACAACATTAAAGTTAGCGTCAAGCCAACTACACAACCACTACGCAATCAGTGATGGGTGTGTCGCTCGATACGTGGGCAGGATTACATCAGCAGACTCGCTGATTGGTTCTGGAAGTGTACAAATGCATGTGTAGAAATAATCAGAGGCAAAGTACTGAAACCATATCTATGGGAAACCCAACGAAATGAGTAGAATGCAAGTATTCCAAGTATTGATTTACCAAACATGTAATAAGCAAACCCTCCAAACACACGAGCTTTTCAAATGTGCCAATTTGAGGCTTATTCTCATCTTACTCTGCAGCACTGAATATCTGAGGATTTTGGACTGTTTTCACAGCTTTTTTTGGTACGTCATTTAAAATCCCATGGTGCAGTGGTTTACACATTTGTCTAACAAGCAAAATATGCCCAGATTGATTTTGAGAGGAGACATAAACCCCTTATTGTTGCTTGAGGAAGGCCATCCAGTGTAAAAATCTGCTAAACCAAGCAGGATTTAGAAACTTCAGATATGTAGTGCCATCATGAAATTTGGGGGCGACTACTCCTTAAACAATACCTGAACGCCACTTTGACCATTTTCCCTTCAAAGTCACCTTGTTCACCTGGAGACCTTTTCAGGTTCTGCTACCTTTCTGAAGTCACTCCTGTTTGAAAAGTTGTACATTTTGGATTTCATCCAAGTTCTCAAATGTTGTGCAGACAGCAAACAACAACAACTCGACTTTCATGCCCAGGATCATCGCTGGTGATCAAACTGCAGTCCACAAGATGTTCGTGGAAGAGTCTGCAGTGCATGAGGAAGATTGACGCTATTAACCCTCTCCCCATAAGTCACAGGACTTGTTTAGTTCTGCTTTAACACCCTTTGGCATCTGGTGGAGAAGATTCTATATAAGCAGAAGTAAAACAATCAAACCAATGCTATTCACATGAAGCGCCTCTCATTGACTTCAACACATTTCCATTACAGCCATTAAATGCAAGTTTAATGGATGTAGAGGAGATCAGGTGAGCAACACAGAGCCTCAAGATCAACAAGACTGAGCAGGACCTCTGGAGTGATATAGAAACAGCAGAGGTGCACACAGGGGGTGACCCTGTGGGACAGATTAGCCCAATTTAAATTAGTTTTTGGTTTTATGAGTACCGAATTCAGTCCTCACAGCTGGGAAGCTTTAACAAAGCGAGTGATTCATGACTCGGATGATTAATCATGAAAACATTTTCCAATTATTTGTTAAACTCTCAATATATTATTATTCTTCTGAGTAAGAGCTTCCTGAACGATGAAATAACTGATGAGGACACAGCAGCTACTCCCAAAAGAATCTCAGTGTGTGCCCTGCTGGGTCACCGATAGTTCATGACATCAGCTGCAGCCAAGCTTCCTTCATACGCTCAGTAAAAATTCACTATGCGTAAAAGATTTAGTTTGTTAATGGAAGAAGCTCCTTTAAAAACCAGACTGCAGAGCAGCAAATGTAGTGTATATTTAAACACGGAATAGTTTTCGGTCCTCGGAAAGCTGAGCGTACATGAGCAAAGAGGCCGGTGCGTCTTATTAAACAACACTGGCCTCATTCTCTTTGAAGAAGATATATAGTGGGCTCCATAACTCCTCTCTGCTGCTTTACAAAAACTTCTAGGTGGTCTTGAATTCCACTTATGTTTCTGGAAGAGTAAAACAATGGAAAGTCTGACATGTGTATATGAGCACTGCTGCCAGACAAGTTAAAAATATTCCAAAGTAATATACTACTCAAGTCCAGAGAAAACACTACCTCACTGTTTGCATTGCTGAAGAAGAGCAACTAATGACTTATAAGTCCATGTTGCTCCCCGAATGCCCATCCTGTTGTCATCAAGCATTTTTAAAAAAGTTTGCCTCAACCAATCAGTGCACAAGTCAGCTCCTCCATGTCCAATGTGTCCGCTTCAAACAGGAAATGGAGATGTACGTACCCAGTTCATCTGCATGTTCTGAAACTCGAGGCCAAAGTAATCACTCTCTATGAGGTTGCCTCTGTGGAAAACCTCAGAGAGAATGATCTGTCCAAGAGCCTTTGGCTGAAAGAAAAAGAAAAGCAGAAGAATTTCATCACTATGTCAACACAAAGATTTCAGAAGTTCTGTGACAATAGATCTTATGAGAAGCGAAAGTGCATTGCTTTAAAAGACAAAATATTCACAAAGATTCCACAGATGGAGAGCATCATCAAAAACTAATTTCAACTAAGCCCGAAGAGACAGAGGACACGCTTGTGTTCAAAGTGAGCGCTGAATAAATGCCGCCTGCCTGTGTGGTGCAGAAAATATTCGCAGCTGTAAATGATCCACTCCATTGTGTGCTTTATGGTTGCGTATGTTCCATCTGTCGATTTAAATACTTTTTCTCGACTTGGATGAGTGTCTGAACTTACTGTATTTCGCCGTTTATCTGGGCCTGAGAAGTGTGCATGCGGGAATTCTGCACAAGTTTACCATCTCAATGCTCTGGGGTTTGCTTTCACTAAATGAAGAACTAATTACTATGTATGAAGAACACACTGCACTTGAGGTTTGGAATCCTAGCTTGCGACTTTTTGAGAAAATTATAGCCTGAAACATCTGGTTGTAATGTAAAATAGTATTTTTAAAAGCCTTATAAAAAGTACTGCTTTGCATTGGCTAAAGTAAAGGATTACAACTCAAAGCATGCCAGGAGATTTACTGTAGTCGGTCTTTTCATTACTTTGATACAATCACATGTTCTGCATTCAGAAAATCTATAAATTGCAGGTGAAACCTACTGACACAACATCCATAAATTTAGGAATCTCTTGTAAAATTCCCCCTTTTTCCACACATTCAAGGTATCCGATTCCGGCTGACCTCAAACGGAGAACAAAAAACGGTGTGTTAAAATACTTTGTCTGTGCTGCCTTTGAGTGCAGGCCAAACATACGATCCAGACAACGTCAGCGAGATTTTTTGCGCAAAGACTCGGGAGCCAAATGTAAGGAACGCTTTGAGGCATTTTGTCAGTTTGACTCATTCAGTGAGTGCTTCATTAACAAAGTTATTAGAGCAAAACCAAATCTTCCCTGTGGTTAGACAATGTTTCCATACACTAATCCTCATTTCTTCTCAGTGTTCTTGAGGTTTACCATGTACACCTCATCCTGTTACAAGTCGGGGGAAATTCAGTCTAACCAGCAAACAAAGTTTGAAACCACACTGTCAAACAGCTACAATCAGCCTAATCACCACACGATTAATGTTTAGGTTTAATCAAACAGAACTGAGGCCGCTAGTTCGACAAGAAACCCAGAAGCAGTTGGCAGGTTTGACCTGCTGAGGATTATGTTCTCAATGCAGTAGCCATGAGCAAACTATTTAATGCCATCTTCTTTTTCTTGGCACTTTGTCATTGTGTTACTCATTAACCCTCTGCTGGAATTGTGAACGTGTGTTTTAAGAGCACAGTAAGATCAAACTTTGACATGTAGCATTATCTTTTACAGTCAGACAGGGAGGGATAGCATTTTCTCATTGACCCAGCTAGCCTCTTTGCTAGCTGCCAGGTGAAGCCAGGCAGCTAGCAAAGAGGAAAGGGTACAACTACTGCACATCATTCCCCCCCTAAGAAAGTTCTTTCCAGCATCACTGCAGTGAAATTCCATGTAGCCCGCAGATAATATTTTCCCCTCAACCAACTTCCTCTTATGCTGTCCAATTTGGCTTATCTCTCTGTGAAGTCACTGTTTACTTTGTGGGCACACACTTAAATGTTGGCAACCCTGCAGCAGTTTAAGTACAGCTGAAATATTTTACAGTGGAACAACAAAAAAAAAAAGAAAAATAAAAGTAGATGTTATGAAAAATGCCTGAATTTAAAAGTTTATAAACTAAAAATATAAATTGGCCAATAATGTACCAAAAGCAAAAATTTTGGTACAAAAGCAGTCTTCAAGTTCAGACAACTCCAAGAAGCAACCACGGTACAAATGACGTTTTACACTACACAGACATCAGAGTTAAACGGCTTAAAAATGAAATGGACTTTTAGTCGCGGTTGCCAATAAATCCATATTTTAGCTGTTGAATCACATGACTCATTCTTTTGGAAGGGCCTGGAATCTAAACTGGTTCCAAACTGTCCAATCCATTTGAATTGTTTGCCTCCGAGCTTATCAGCTCCTTTATCAGTGCTGGCTTATTTTTCCTGACAGTTGAACATTGCAACACTGTGACATCAGTATCATGGTGGTGGAGCTTTTGCACACCTGAGTCATATGCAAGCCTTTAAAAGAAACACTATTTGAGTTCTCAGAGTCATAGATAAGAAAACAATTGTACAGACCCGTGAAGGCCTCTGACACAGAAAACTGAGTTGAAACTAAATGGCATGGGCATATCCAGCCCCGTTTCTAGATCTAAATATCTTTTGAAAGCATGAAAATCTACTACCAAAATTGGCCGAACTGATTAAAAGAAATCCAAATTTACTTTGTTGTTTAACTCCACCTTTAAACGTAATTTATCAGTTCTTCTTTGCCGCTAATGTATCATAAACCAATGGGCGGCACCGCAGAAGCCCTCCTGGCATCTTAAGTCAAGTCACATCTGTGATGTGACAGCGAGATCATGCAGAGTTTGTTCACACCCTACTTGTGGTGTGGACCACAGTCTCATCTCCACACCAACATTAAGGCAGGTCAATGGGTCACCCAATCAAGCTCCAAAAGCAGCGGGGGATTATGGCAAACAGATGTTTCTCTGGAAGACAAATCTCCCCTTGTTTGTGTGTACGCTGGGAGCAGGGGTGAGTACAAGTAAAAGCTTAAAAAAAAAAACAGCCTGCTATAGGAGAGGACTGCCTTCCTCATGCACAGAGAATTTCAAGGAGGGGAAATGGAAAAAAAAAATACAGGTGCAATTCAAAAATGCAGGGATTTGTTGTACCTTGCATGACAGGTTAAACACTGTTTAAAGATCACAGTGAAAGGCAGAGGGCTCTAGCAGAACCTCCCACTGACAGCAGGGGTGTGTTGGGGCTTGCATTTGCCACAGTGGGAGGTACGCTGTCATTTTTCACGGTGGTATACATTTTGACTTTAAACAGGTTCTTCGATGGATTTTATAACTGAATGGCAATTTCCCTTCTTCTCGCTGCCTGGCTTTAGGACACGCCCGTGGACAGCTGGCAGTCATGTTGTTTGTTGGCAAATCAACTCTGGAAGGTGGTAATCGGGATCAGATGTTTTACAGAGTGCCTTCTGCTCAAGTCACCTGTATAACCCAGATAATTTACAGCCTCGGCTTGGCGTTTAAAACATGAGGGGAGAAAAAGGAGAAAAAAAAAATTTCAGTAGGTGGATCCTCCTTAGGTGGTGGTAAATTACTCCCTGCAGCAGGAAAGATTACCATAACAGTAAGAGCAGAGAGGAGTTGTTTGAGGTATTTAACAAGAAGTCCTTCAAGGCACAGCCATTAGATAGTTTAGCCACTTCAGTACACAGTGGGGTAGCGTGAGTGCTTTGTGGGGATGAGAGCTGAATGCTTCTCAGCCTGTGTTTGGTATGAAGAACAAGATTACTGCTTTTGTGAGCATGTCCGCGTAACCGACGCCACAGATGATAAACTGACCACAGATAACAAACTGAGATACACCACTCTGACATTACTTTATCCAAATTCCCTTTGGAAGAAAGTCTTTCCACTGGACAACCATCTTACAACACTTCCAGGAACTTATTTAGCTATCCATTTCAAACCATTATCTAAATTGACTTTAATTTCAAACATCACGCAACATAAAAACTGCATGCATAGAATCATTAGTGAGATCAGATGGGAAAAAACTTAAAAATCTTTGCTTTTTCTGCTCCAAAAATAAGGTTTTGAACTGTTTTTCCCTCTACAAGAGTGCCATGTGTCTCGATCTTGCAATCTCTTGTTAATACCAGAAACTTCCACACAATTTAAATAAGTTTTTTTTTTTTTACCCCTCTGGATTGTAGTGCCATTTACTCATCTAAATTGTTCAACACACAAAACAATTATTCATTAAAAATCCATGTAAAAATGTCTCTAAAGAAATGACAATCTGAATAAATAACACTCTGGGCCAGAGGAAAATTGTGTATTGTTAACTTTAGTGTAAATCATCCATTTTAAAGGATAATTAAACACTTTTGTTGCATTTCACACCGACTGCATCGTTGCAAGAACGGCTCAGAGATGAAACAGGACTTTAAAGCACACATCACGGTTGAATTACACTGTTTGAGTTATCTAGTTAGTCCAAATGTGATTTCAGGGACAGGCCAGGGGGGTTTGGAATTCCTCGGCCCAACTTTCGACAGGGCTTCACTCCTGACCGTGTCCCCTTCCCCCACCACCTCGGCTCAAACTTTGTACTAGCCATGACTGCTCCCTCTGAACTGCCCCTCTTGGTTGTCAACCTTGCTATTTATGTGCTTGTTTGCTAACACTAAAGCAAAGCCTGCCTGGATTCCCTCCCACCAGCACCCTGACTATAAACGCATTTTCACACAGCTAGGTTCCACAACCCACTCTCTGCCCCCTTTTTTTTTTTTTTTTGCAAGTTTTAAGCTGGAAGTTAAGGCCAGCAAAGGGGCTGGCTGTGCTGGATAAAAGAGGCCTGTGTTTCCCCTGCCCCGCTGGCCCAGCCTCCCTGTCCAGAAACCACAAGGCTGAGCTTTCTCCTGTGCTGGGTGGCTGTGGGAGGGGTCTGTGGACAAGAGTCGTGCAAGCAAATGTCTGCTGATGATGACCCATGTCAGGTAACTGCAGCAGAGGAAGGCCAGCAGATCAAAGACTGATCTGATTGGACTGTCTTAGGTCCAGGCTAAAGACATTATATGGCCAGAAATACAAACACCTTTGCACGCAATATGATTTTACAGTTCAGAGTTATCACACGTAATGAAAGATGTGATGTAACGGTAAAGAAATAAATATGGAGAATGACAGCTGTTATTCTAGGAATGCACCAATATATCAGCAGAATATTGTAATCAAAAGACGTCAAAATCTATAAATTATGCGGCATCTACATTTTAAAAGCACAACGCAAAGCAGAAATACTCCAAAAATGTTCCCATACATTTATCCCCCCTGACTCAGAGAGAAACCACACAAAACAAAGCAGAAAACAAGAACATCTATATCAAGCAAATTTGCACAATGGATGAATCCCTTGTGGCTTTCCTGTGTGTAATTTTGAGTGAAGCGTATTTTTGCTTTACTGTACAGTAAGAGGGGCAGTAAATGGCAGGTGATGGAGACTGTACACAAGATATTTGGGCAGCTGAGCAACCAAAACGCCACAATGAGGGGAGGCAGTTACTTGAAGGCCACAACCATGGCAAACATTCCACACTGCAATTTTGTATCTATTTTTGCACACGGACTCCACGAGGGAGAAAAAAAATATATAATTAAAAGCATAGGAAAAGTTGTGCTGGCTCAATCAGTTCTCTTTGAAGTGACTGGACAGATAGGCACAAACTGAACGCACATTTCTGATGCGTTTAGCTGAGCAGCCATTCAATACACAAGGATAAAAACTATTCACCCACCAGCCCACGACTCCTCACAATGAATGAACAGAAATATTAAGCAGTGAACAACAGAGCCTCTCAGAGGCCATCTTGTTCCTGGTAAACTCCAGTCTGCTTGACAACAGCACTGCCGTCATTCTCTTTTTGCAGCCATGTATTTCGGTCTGCCACCTCCTATCAACACCACGTGCGGAGCCGCGCTGAACTCAGACCTCAGTCAGCCTGTCAGAACTCAGAGAACCACATTTTCTTGAGACCAATTACATTTTCTTCAGACTGAACAGCACACAGGTCTGCTTCCATGCAAGTCTAACATATGTCCGTTACGCTCTATTAGCTTAAGACTTTGAGACAACATATGGTGCATAAGATTATGAAACGTCTGCCTCAGCAGTACTCCTGAACTGCAACTCTTGTAGCTACACAAGGATTTAGGATACACACAGGAAAGTATAAATATACAAACCTATTCGAACACAATTAGCAGCTGCCAGGTCTTTTTATTACACTTCACCATCAACCAGCCACTGAATTGAGCATTTAATCATTGTACAGACTCTACTTCGATTTGTTTTCCCCTTCACATAAAAAGCCAGGAAGCATGCTCTGATAGAGTGGCTTCCTTATTGCTTCCTATTGGCCTTCTCGGTGACTCCTGCTGCAACTTGGCAAGTAGACATGGCAAAGCAGAGTCACAGCATGGATCTCAAAGTTTGTTCAACAGCGAGTATTTAAATGGGATCAACTTCTCTAAAGTAATTCCAATGAATAGAAGAAAACAAAAGCAAGAATATTTGGCTAGGATTTATACACCGTATGTGATGGCTGTGTGAGTAACCAAATGCTTCTGTAAAATGTAGACTTCGTTAACCCCCCCCCCCCGAAAAAAAAAGGATTATAAAAACAACCCAGAAAGACCAGACTCCTAACTTTTAATACCTACTCCTTTGGAAGTCAAGCTTTAGGGACCGTAAAGAGAACTGCTACCACTTGGACCTGGAGCAGAAATCACAGCCAAGAAACCAAGAGGCGCCCTGCTGAGTTACACTAAGTTGCCCCAATAAGAAGCCTTAAAGAGGAAGGGATTTCAGCACCAAAGCCATGTGGCAGCTGTCACCAAGACACACAGACACAGACAAACCAGGGCGACCAAGGCCTCCAAGGTAAGATGGAGCCTTCTGTGGAGCAATCCGGAGACATAGTTTAAGTAAACAAACGAGGATGCACAAACCACACACAGTAGAACCTACTTCTATATCAAAGAACTCCTGAGAGTCGTCCAGCCCCTGCACACGGATCTGTATTCCTCTGCCTTGGCTTATTCTCCTGTTGACCATGTTGCCACTGAGACTCTGGCCCGGCTCCAGAGTGCTGATCCCAGCATTGAACTGGGCTCCCAGTCTTGTGCCAGGGGTCTGCAGGACCCTGTATGAACCCTCTATCTCCCCCATTCCAGCTCAGGGAAACGCTCCTGCAAATTCAGAAAGCAACAAACATTAACACAAAACTTCCACTGATCAAATATTTTCTTTGTTCTAAGGACAAACTATTTGGGGATAAAAAATAAAAAAAAAAAACCCAAAACAAACAAAAACAGTCCAAACAGCTTCCTTTAACTGCGAAGTTGCGAAGCTGTTTACGCACACCTGAGGCTCATTCATAGGAAATGTACCGCATTACGCTGACATACCGAAGACCATAAAGTAAAAATGACCCAAACCATTTAGATTTACCCTCAAGCAGAAGTGCAGGTTGGCACAAAAGACGGCCTAACATACGAAAAGAACCGACGGCGCACCGATTTTGCGCTTCATGTGGGGCCCAAAAGTCCCACCAAGACGTAAACCGCGTTTACAGCAACACTTAAAGCCAGAAAAGCTTTCGGGAAAAGCATGAGGAATGTTTAAGGTGAGGTTTGTTTTCTTGATGAGAAACTCAGCTCAGTGGATTCCAGTGTACGGTCGAGAACCGAAGCTAAGTTAATTATCTTAACCGAGAATTAGATCCGAAAAAGTCGCCACACGAGAAAACAAAAAGGAAATTTGCTCAAAAGCGGTTTTAAACTTACCGTTCTGCCCGAAATGAAACTAAACGCTAAAAGTTTGAAACGCCGAAGAGGACACTACTCCGCTCCATGGTCGTCGTCAGCCAAACGAGTGCGCACTCAACAGCGGTTTATCATTGGCTACAGCAGAGCCGTCTGTCCTGCCATTGGTTCAAATGTGGCTAAGGCTCGTAGGCAGGAGAGCCAAGATATACTTTCTTCTACTTTAAATGGCTTTCACGGATGGAGAAGAAGGAACTCACCAGTCGGAATATTTCTTTTACGAGAGTAATGTTGCAAAAAGTAAATGGGGATTTGCGCCAAGAGTCAAAGTCGATAATAAGAAGTGTTTTATATCATTAGTTTGGTCTGATTTGACCCACAAAGCGAAACTGCCATTATTTAAGTTTGGGCTAAAGTCTGACCCGTAGGTGATGTAAATAGACTTCACTGTAAACTTCTAAGTGGTACAAATATAGTAACACAGTTCTCCGAACACATTGTGTGTGAATGTGTGTGTGTGTGTGTGTGTGTGTGTGTGTCTGTTATCCTATTTAACCATCCAGTCTGATCTATAAGTCTTTAAATACCTCAGATCTGAATTACATCAGGACAATGGGCACTTTGCACTGCGGTCCAATGTTCGGTAAGCCCATTTTAAAGACAAAAACTATGTGAGGTAAGGAGGAGGACTTTTTTTTTTTTATTGTGGAGGCGCTCCCCCTACTGTTCTCTCTCAAAAAATCCCAAACAACGTTGCATCATGCTTTAAAAATGCTTTGATAGGTTCTATAATTAAATCTGATGTATATGCACGCATTTCCACTGAATGTGTGTTTCTCATAAAGCAAAATGTGTACCAACACACCGCAGAAATAATGTTTATGCTGAAGTACAAGTATTGATAATAGAAATCCTGTTTGGAATGAGGAATGATGGGGATAAGGCGAGGCTATGGGTTACTAATCGAATGCAATCGATTAACTGATCATCAGTAAGCGGGAGCACCTCTATGAAAGCAGAGGTTTTGGCAGTTTGCTAGTCTGGAGCAGTCAGGTCAGACCATTTACAAGTGGAAAACACTCATGGCACTTGGTAGTCCCCCCCAGGAATGGACGACTCAGCAAATTCACCTGCAGCTCAGAGAAACTGCAGAAGACCAAAGAGCTACATGTCAGACGCTACAGACGTCAGTTAGACTTCTGAAACGATGTCCTTTGGACAGGTAGAATCACAGTGGAGACACTTGGCTATAATGCACGACATGTAATTTAAGCCAAAACAAAATACAACCTATCAACACCTCAGACCAACTCTTAGCACGGTGGTGCTGACATCTGGGCTTGTTCTGCAGCCACAGGACCCGGGCACTTCGGAGTCACTGAGTCATCCATGAACTCTTCTGTGTACCTGCTGATTCCCCTCCCCGACTGGGAGGAAAGTTCCTGTTTGAGCCATCCGTCCCATAGCTATTCTGAATATAGAAATCAATTGTTGGCTATATTAAAGCTAAAGGGTTCCCCAGTCCTCTTGCCAACATAGTGATAGGAAGCCCTCTTCTCTTACTAGTTTGTTTCAGTGCTCTTTGCCTGTTAAACCTGTTTCTCTATCTCCCTTTTCAGTCCAGACTCATTCCTGGAACCCTGTTTGTTTGGTACACAACTCACTTGTGGACTGTGGACACCTCCGGCAAATTTTGCCTGCTCTTGCTTGTTTTCTCTGCTACTTGCAAAGGAAAGGTATTAGCCATTCAAAACCTACCTGATTCCCCCCCCCACCTCTCTGACACCCCTTGATTTTCTCTTGCTGACAAAGTGTTCCTCCAAAGCTTCAATTTACCATCCTAACAAGTAAGACTGTCTGAAATATTCATAAGCTCCGCAATAATCAATTCCTCCCGCCTGGGCTGCAGTTAACACCCTCTCCGCCCTGCAGCAGAGCTCCTCTGCATCCCTGTAGTGAAGCTACTCTTCCCCGTCACTTACCTGTTGCCCGTTAATAACTCACTACCATTCAATGAACTCTGTAAAGCTGCCAATCGTCGCTGATCTTTGAGTCTGATCTTTGCATTTAGATTCAGACTAGTTCATGACAACACTAAAATATTCTAGAACGGATCTGTCTGCAACATAAAGCTTGGCTACACCTTTTTCTGAAGACCAGAAAAAGAAAAAAATTAGGGTGTCAAATGCTGTGGCAGAACCTTAAGAGAGCTGTCCATAAACGAATGGCCACAAACCTAACCTGAACGACCTGAAGCATCATTTCAAAGAGGAACAGTGATATGACTGATAAAGACATACAGAAAATGATTACTTGCTGCTGAAGGTGGTTTTGCGGGTTAATGATTCACGACTTTACTGCAGACAGCCCTGTGAAAACCTTTCCACATAACTGTATTTGAATGTAATGTGCAAATTATTTTCGTAATATGAAAATGTGTATCTATCATCTGGCATTTCAAGTCTTAACAAACACAGACATTCAAATAACATAAGACACTTTTCATGTTTAAAATAATTTATTTTTATCTAAGATATATTTTCTGCTATTATATGTTGTGTTTTATTGCAGGACTTTAGTATTTTTAGTATTTTAAAGCAGACAGTGCCCAAAGAGAACTGGTGCTTTTCATTGGAACGATGACAACTGACAGCTGAACCACTATGACCTTTGCATATAACCAGCTACAGTCCTGGCCATAATTATCAGTTTCCCTGAATTTCAAATTCATAATTGAAAACCTGAATGCAAATGGAGCTATTTTGTTTATACAAGCCAGGTCAAGATGATCACCATGGCATCTGGAAATGTTGTAGACTTCAGAGAGTAGTTGACCACAATTATTAGAAAGTATTTGTGGCGGAGGTGTGGTTCGCGGCTCCACTGCAGAGGTTGGGTGGTCCAGTGTGCTCAAGGGGCAGTGCCAGGGAGACTGGCAGGGCAGCTGGAAGCAATTCAGTAATTACACTGTCCCTATTTCAGTGACGTCGGGACCTGGAGGAAGGAAGGACAGGTGAAGACAGCTGGAAGTCTGAATAGTACTGAAGGGATAGAGGGATTTGCTACAGCAGCATCTCTTTGAGGGAAAGGATAAAGGGACTGAGGGACGCAGAGATGCACATTTTGTAAATAAACACACGGTCACAAGCATGCTGAGTGTCTTGAGTGTTTGCTGGGGTCACATCATTATTTAAAATTACGCTATTTGTCCAAATACTTCTGAGTCTCTGAAAATGAGAGATTATGTATAAAACCAGATTGACAAAAGCTGTGTCACTGTATAAATAGTCGTAGACATAACTGTATCTGCTTAATGTCTCAACAAGAGGCCGTCATTCATCCTTGCTTCTTTTTGGAGAGAAGTTTTGATGATGTTTTTCTGATTTTTGTTCATTTAAAACAACATTTTATTTGATGCAAAACATTAAATGGAAAGATAAAAATTATCTGCTAATAGAAAGACAAAGAATGCAATCTGAACTGGATGACTTTCCCATGTTCCACACTGTCTTTTGATCTGTATTCATTATCTGCAAGAAGCCCTGGGCCTCATCACAGTGCCCGTCATGTGTGATGAAATTAGTCTGGTAGATCTGAAGCCTCGGATTTGTCTGAAGATACAGTTTGTGCTGTTTCTTTATACGTGATATTATTAAAAAAATGAGCATAAATTGAAAACAATAAAACATAAAAATTAACTGCGTGCGTGTGTAACAGATATTAAACATGACCAAACTTTCAAATTATGATGCCAGTTTATTTTTGGGTAACCCCGTGAACTAAGACCTCTAAACATTTGGTTTGTTTTTTCAACTCTTTATGATATTAGTGAGAGCAGTTAGCCCTTTGTATAAATCCAGAGACAGACGCCACAAATTCTCTACTCATACAAATATCTAAAATACTGAAATAAACTCTTTTCATTGACAGACTGAATACATTTATAACTAAGCACAAAATATTACAGATCAAGATCCATTGCATTAACTAAAATTGTATCAATCAAAGAAAGTATGCAGCTGGAGCTTTTATCAGCTTAAAGGAAGATTTTGAGACAACTGATCACCAGGCTTTAATGAATAAAGTGGAAAGGTATGGTGTTAGAGGGGTGGCACTAGACTAGGTGGAAAGCTAAGGCAACAATTTGTGGAGATAAGACAGCACTAGAAAAAATTGTGTGAATGCCTTGCAGTGGAATCTGAAAACAGCAGAAGAATGAGAACAATCTGCTGAAAAGAGCTGAAGAAGCTGAAGTTTGTGCCGAAAACAGCTAAAGAAGCTGGAATTTTTGCTGAAAAGCGGTGAAAGCCAAAAATTCTGCAAAAAAGCAGTGAAGAAGCCTAAATTTGCACTGAAAAGATGTGAAAAAGTTAAACTATCTCCTGAAAGGAAAGTTTGCCACAAGCTGGTTAATCAGCAGAGCTTGTGCTAAAAAGAGGTTTCTGATGAAAAAGCTGGGATTTGCGCTGAAAAGGGGTGAAAAAACAGAAAATTCTACTGAAAAGGGGTGAGAAGCTGAAATTTGTATTGAAAACGGTTAAAAAAAAGTTTAACTGTGAACTGAAAAAATTGTTGCCATAAGCAGGATTTAAACCCAGGCCTCCTGCTCTGAGAACGGCTGCTCATCTCACTGAGCTAAAACACAGCTCAACCCGGCAAGCAAAATCAGTGACCACACTGATGATGTGGTCCATTCATGTCAATGGGCAAAAAAATTGCATGAAAAATTCAATATCTCAAAAAGTATAGAAGTAATGAGTACCAAAAGTCATATTTCGGCATTAGCAGAAAGAGCAGAATTTTTTTAAAGTCTGAATGGCGAAAATCGGATAAAAACTGTGGAAGTAGTTCCACGGCGAAGAATCATTGAGCAACTAGAATAAAGTATAAAGAATAAAGAGAAACAGGAACTCAATAGTGTTAAAATGATTGAACATTGCTTGTGGAGTCCCACAGGGGTCAGTATTGGATTCAAAACTCTATGTGAGCAGGGATGTCAAATTAACCTGAGGCAGTGGGCCACACTTCTGTCAGTGTAAGGAAGTCCAACTACACATTTAGAAAAAGAAAAGGTGTAGTTTTTATACATGACAAAGAAATGCTGCTGTAGTAAATGAAAGAAATGTGTATTTTTTTTTTTACTATTGGTCCATTCTAAAAATAAACAA